GGCCGGCGCCACGAGTGAGTATTAGAAGGCGCGCGCGTCCCCTCTCTCCCCGGCCCGCCGCGTCTCTCTGACCACCCCTCCCCCTCCCGGGTCAGGCGTGCATCGGGCGTACAAAATGGCCGCGGGGCGCACCTCCAGCGACGCTGTCTCTTTGGCCCGAGCGGTGGGTAACTCCCTGGCCGGGCTCAGGCCCTCTCGGGCTGCTGCGAGCTGCGCGATGCGCGTCCCCTCCGCCGCACGGCCGTGCCCCTGCCCCTCACACTCCGACTCCGCCGCAGGACCGGTCTGGCGACCCGGAACGACCGCCTAGAGCAGCAGCATCGACCATCCCGACCCCGTGGGGGCCGGGGCGGGCCAGCCAGACGTGAGAGCACCCCTCCCCCCCTCTCGCGGCGCGTCCCCTCCTTCCTCCCCGCACCCCGCCACCCGGCTCGCAGCCCCGTCGCCGTCGTGAGTCAGCCCTCGGTCAGGTACTGCCAAAGGCGGCCGAAGCAACACCATCGCTACCAGCGCCACCGTGCCGGTGCTGGTGAGCTCTGCGGCCCGTGTAGCGGCCCCTTAGCCCGTCGCCCGGGCACATGGCGCCCTCACACCGCTCCTCGCCCCCGTCTCGCAGGCCAAAATCGTCGACATCGCGTCGGCACTCTCTACGGCGCGCCTGGGCTCGCAGAGGGCGGCCTGGGCGGTGCAGGGTGGCTGGGCTGCCCCCCTCGCGCGGTGCGCCAAGCCTCGGGGGTCGGGGAGACCATCTCGGGTCGCCGAGGGGGCGGGTCGGACGCCCGATCCGGCTGCTGGCCGGAGGACGTCGCCGGCTCCGCAATTTTGGGCGCCCCAGTCGCCTCCAGCCGGGCCGAGCGGCGCCAGCTGGTAGCTGGGGCCGCAGGGCGGTCGGGCCGACACCGTATGCTAGTCGGAGTGGGTTGTCTAGGGGTGTAAAGGTCGGTAGAGTGTCCGTTTGTGGCCTCCGGACGGGCTCTGGTCGGGAGCCCGCCGGGCCGGCTGAGGCTGTGTGTCCGTCCACTGTGGACCAAGTGATGGCCTAGGAGCCCTGCACGGACGGTGTTTATGCTATATAACACCTAGGGACCGCCTGGGGTGGGCGGCGAGCCGCGCATCGGCCGACAATGTGCCGGTGTACGCGTTTCGGTCACACTCAGGGCCCGTTTTGCATGACCTGTTGAGCCCTGTGGAAATCTTGAAGATCCCCGTCGCACACCAAGATCGTGCAGGCGGGCGGGGACACACGCGTCCCACCATCGTCAGATTTTGACCGTTTTGATTTAGTGTGTCCCACACCGAGCAGGATACTACTTGAGGCGATTAGGTTTAGCGTTTAGGAGGAGCAGGGACCCGTGAAGAGGCGATCAGGGACCCGTGAGCGGATATGAAAAAGGTTCTGGTCGATGTTGTGGAGGACGCCGACCATCTCAGCGAGGTACTGCTCCATCGCACTGCCGCCGATGGCCGGAGACGCCGCCGCCGCGGTGGCGAGCGTGCCGGCGGCGGGGAGACCCAGCGCGCCGAGCGTGCGGCCGAGCGAGTCGACTGCGGGCGGCGCGCCGACGGCTCGCGTGCCGCCGCCCGGCTCGATGTAGATGCCTTTCTTCAGGTTCAGCACGACATTTCGGAAGCGCTGCGGATCGAGGAGGCCCTGCAGCATGCCAAAAGACGGGTCGACCCTCGGGTCGCCGCCGCCCATGGCGCCGCCCGTGCCCGCGGTCTCGATCGCGACCGAGGTGAGCACGTTCGGCACGAAGCAGCACCAGGCTGCGTACGCGGCTGGCTCGTTGATCATGATGTCCTGCACGTTGTTGATCGGGATGGTTTTC